TGCTGATGTTGATGGCCATGTATTTCAAGTCATATTATTGATATAATAAAAAGGGAAAAACAAAAATGATAAATCGAAAAAATCATCATATCATTAAAAAACAAATATTGAAGGATGTATTTTTATACTATGAAAGGAATATATATACATATATATGATATATATATAGTATATTCATAGTACCAAAAAATATGCTAAATATTTGTTTTATATATATATATATATATATATATATATATATATATATTTTGTTAGTGTTATATTATATGAGTAGTAATTTTTCATACGTTTTATCAATTCTTTTATCCGTTTTGTTGGTTTGTTTTATGTTTTTCATTACTGATGATAACCATGTTAATACATATTATTAAAAAACCGCAAAAAAATTCTAATATATTGAAAGCCAACAAATCATGTGTTCCGACTAATATTAATCATCAGATAGAAAAATCCCATTTTTTTGAAAGTTTTAGTTTCGTTTTATTAATGTTTTAATTATTATAAATGTATTAATTAAATGTAAAAACAAACAAAACTAAACTAAAAATTAAATAAAATGATATATTTATATATATATTAAAATATTATATAATATTTAAATAAATTTTAATAAAAACATAGTTTTCCTTCTAATATATATATATATTTGTTGTTATTTTTTGAAGAGAGGGTTTTGTAATATAATAAATGATATGGGTTCAAACGATATTTTATTACACTACTTTCTTCGTATATACTCCGTATATATATTTATATAAATCCAGTATGATTGCATTGTTGAAGAAGACCTTTATAAATATATATATAAATTATAAAGAGATTACACGGGTTTTATAATATATTTATAAAGTAATATATATATATATATATATATATATAATATAAATATTAACTCATAGAAAGTCAATTTATTTTAATAAAATACATATTTTTTCTCTAAATATATATAATATATAAATAAATATAAAATATAAGAATATCTTTAAACAATTTTTCAACAAACCTTAAGGGCATAATCCAAGGGTATACAATATACGTATATTGATATATAAATAAATTTTTATATAATACCCTATAAAGTAAAATATGATAATATTTATAATAGTATAAACAATAATATAATATTATTATTGATAATAAATGCTTTATATATACTATATATATCTAATAAAGATTTAATGGTAAAAATCTTATTATTTCGTTGTTATTTTAAAATATATGTCATTTTATCATAATATGTTGTATATATATATATCATCATTGTATATCATAAATGATAAAAAATAATTGAATAATTATATCTATAATAATAATAATAATAATAATAACTTAAGTAATGTTGTTTATAATATACTAATATATATATCCTCCACCCTATTAGTAGTATAGTAGTAGTAGTAGTATTACGTGTAAAAATATAGTAGTGTTTATATATATACTCGTATATTATTGTTACTATTAGTTATGATTATCATATCTCATATGTCTTTACTCCTAATAAATGAAACGAAACAAAAAATAAGTTTATTTCCGTGTATATATCAAAAAAAGTCAAATATATATATGAAATATATACGGAAATTATTATATTATTATTATTAAGTAAAATATATAAATTAATATCGTATCATATAATAGACCAAAAATAAAATAATAAACATATAGGGAAATATTTATATAGAAATAAAATAAAATATATGAATTATATAATGAAAATAAAATTATTATTATATTTCAATAATATATATATATATATATTGTATATTAAATACCGGTCTGTTTTTTGGTCAACGATTCAAACAATATGTCGACGAATGTCGCGATTAACCGTAATAATGGCTACTACCGTTAAAGCCGCCGCCAATAATGCGGGTCATTGTATGTTTGATGTAGTCGGGACCCGGGGGCCGCCCCCCGACGATTTTGGACCGTACCACGTAACCGACACGGTTACCGGGGGCATTGACTACGATGGCACCGACGGGTCCCCGCCCGATAATTGGTTTTCCGGTTAAAAACCGATAAATAAAATCATGAAAACAAAAACATAAATAAATAAATTTATTATATATTAAATAACCATATATAAATCATTGTATAAGTTATATATAATAGTATATTATTATCATTTTATTGTTATGATAAGAGAGATGAAAAATATTATGTAATATTATGTAATAATTACTGTCTTCAAATCTTTGAGACAAATATATATTTATATAATAGCATATAATACAGTATTAAATACTATTAGTATTTAAGTTTAGTTTTATTTGTTGTTTAAGTTGTTTTGATGTTTATTATTATTATATACTTTTTATACGTTTGTATTATCAGTATTATTGATATTATTAAGTAATCCTAAAGTAAGTAAAGTGATAATAATGTAATGTAATATATATGCTAAATACATATCTAAATATATATTATTGGATATACCGTATATATAATATATTTATTATATATATTTAAAGGTTTGGTTTATATTAATTGCAAAAAATCACGTTTGATTATCGCCCTTATATTTATTTACATATATCCGTAATGATAAAATATATAAATGTTAATAATAATAGCAATAATAATAATGAATATATGTTTATATATATTTAATCATTTCGAAGTAAATGTCATTTAATAAAGTATCCATTAATATAAATATAATAAATACACCGTAAATCATAACTAACCCTTATATGTTAAGTAATTTTGTGTTATATGATATTACTATATATATATATATATACTGTAATATTATTGATATATATTATTAAATATTAGTGTATATATTAGAAAGTCCCAAACCGGGGGAAAATTACCGGGTAAATTATTTTATTACAAGGGTCGGGGGGTATTAAACTAAAAATTAATTATTATTTATTATTACAATTAACTGTATATACAAGTAGTATAATTATCATACATAAAATTGAGTGTCCGCGGTTTAAAATCACTTATATTTCCTCCCCATATTAATTAAAAATAAATTAAAAACAACTATATATTATATATCATATTAACTAATAGCCGTACTAATTTAATTATAACTACAGTACAACACTAATGGCATTCTCGTGAAAATATTTTGGCATATATTATATTATATTTAGTAGTATATTTCCCGTATAGAAATTATATAATAGTGTTGACTTAATTAAAAAATAATTCAACTGACATTCAACACAACAAAAAAATCCAAAATTGCATACAAAATTAAATATTATGCCAAATACTTACTATATTTTAGCTAAATACTGCATATATATTGAATATATATATACTCGAAAATAATATTTAATGCTATATTTATAAATAATATAAATATATAATATAAAAAGGTTTCTAAAAATTGTTAGTAATATATATATAAATCCCCGTAATCATTTATTATATAATTTAATGAAAAGCCAGACTAAATTTTGGTTTATAAATTAAACATTAAAATAATTTTCGATTATTATTATTAAAAATAATTTTATAAAATTTAAACATTTTATTTGTTAAAGATATGATATATTTTCCTTCTATTTCTTATTGGGGGTTAGACAATAATGTAGTTTATTATTATTATTATATATATATATATATATGAAACCCGTTATTCCGATATGATTATACGCTATTTATTTATTGTCTAAAAATATGATATAATTATTGATTTTTATAATATTATATTAATTATTATCGTTATTATAAATAGTATAATAAATAAACAACTATTTCATAAGAGAATTATTTATAATATATATATAATATTATTATATTTGTTGAAAGCTTAAATTTTTTATATATATTTATAGACCCGATAGAGAATTAATCAGATAAAAATAAAAAAAGTGATTTTTTATGTTTATTTCGTATTAATAAAAATATAACAACAAAAAAGTGTTAAAATCGGGAGATTTATATTAAATATATATATAAAAATAAACTTTATCTCTTATATTATATAACTTATAAATTATAATATAATAGTATAGATATACGGGTTACAGACACTGTATTATTATTTTTCAACTAAAATCTTATTAATATTAATATATAATATATTAAATTAAATATATTAAAGAAATATAGCAAATAAAGTGCAAGAGAAAAACAATATAACGATAAGGGTTATTATATATATATATATATATAATTATATTAGGGACATGAGACAGATCCGATAGATAGAGCCACAACAACATCAACACCGTCGGGGTCGGGTCCCCCGGGATATGGGGTTAAAAAAGAAATTGGGTGAGTGAGTATTACGAAAGATATATATATATATAGAAGAGAGAGAGAGAAAAAGAAAGAGAGAAATAAATAAACAAAAGTTTGCCGACAATAAAGTAGGTCTTTATATATTATATTAAATTTATATATAAATAATATCCTTAAAAATCGGTAAGACCATCTAAATTATTTGAATGAATCAACGAATCAATGGCTATATTACCAAGTTCTTCATATCTGTTTCTCTGCGTATTAATGAGTGTACGTTTGAATGAAGTGTTTGTCTGTGATTGTCGGGTAGTAAGTACTCCGTCTATATATAGATAGATAAATAAATGTCAAAAATAAGTTATAATAAAATAATGATATAACAAAAAATAGTAATTCCAGTTATTGACAACACATTAGATGATAAAGTGATAGAGTAAGAAAGAGAGAGAAAACTTAATAATAATAAAAGCATTTTCTTCTTCATCTTCATCACCAATGGATTTGATTAATGACACAAAATATCTATTTTTTTGTACGATTAATATATAATATATACAAAAATTGATTTTTTCCCATAAGGCTAATACCGTATTGTCCGCCAACCGGACACCGCAAATAAATGGTCTGATGGGCTACGAGTGTCATATTGGGTATAAGTCGGACATAGGGCGGGCCTATGACCCGAACCAGAGCACCATAATGGACACCCTGGCCCGGATGCGATCCACGGGCCGGGGTGTCGTTATGGTGCTCTGGTTCGGGTCATAGGCCCGCCCTATGTCGACTTATACCCAATATGACACTCGTAGCCCATCAGACCATTTATTTGCGGTGTCCGGTTGGCGGACAATACGATGATATCTTATGGGAAAAAAGTATGAATCAATTTTGTTGTATATATTATGTATTAATCGYRCAAAAAAAATAAATATTTGTGTCATTAATCAAATCCATTGGTGATGAAGATGAAGAAGAAAATGCTTTTTATTATTATTAAGTTTCTCTCTTTCTTTCTTACTTTCTTTCTATCACTTTATCATCTAATGTGTTGTCAATAACTGGAATTACTATTTTTTTTGTTATATCATTATTTTTATTATAACTTATTTTTTTGTTTATTTATTTATCTATCTATATATAGACGGAGTACTACTACCCGACAATCACAGACAAACACTTCATTCAAACGGTACACTCATTGTACGGGAGCTCTCCCGGGAAACAGATGCGGGGCGGTTGGTATAGCCATTGATTCATTGATTCATTCAAATAGTTTAGATGGTCTTACCATTTAAGGATATTATTTATATATAAATTTAATATAATATATATAAAGACCTACTATTGTCGGCAAACTTTTTTTGTTTATTTGTTTCTCTCTTTCTTTTTCTCTCTCTCTCTCTCTATATATATATATATCTTTCAATACTCACTCACAATGTCTTTGACTGTCTGTCTTGACGTTGCAGTTGTTGTGTTGATGTTGTTGTTGTCTATCTATCGGATCTGTCTCTTAGTCCCTAAACTCTCAGCTCTCTCTCTCTCTCTCTCTCTCTCTCTCTCTTTCTTTCTTTCTATCGTTATATTGTTTTTCTCTTACACTTTATTTGCTATATTTCTTTATATATTTAATTTAATATATTATATATATTGTATTAATAAGATTTTAGTTGAAAAAATAATAATACAGTGTCTGTATTACAGTATATCTACACTACTATTATATATAATTTATAAGTTATATAATATATATAAGTATAAAGAATAAGAGTTTATTTTTTATATATATATTTAGCAAATCTCCAAATCTCTTGATTTTAACACTTTTTTGTTGTTGTATTTTGTTGTCACAAATAAACATAAAAATCACTTTATTTTTGTGGTCTAATTCTCTATCGAGTCCTATAAATATATATAAAAAAAATTGTTAAGCTTTTCAACAAATATAATAATATTATATATATATTATAAATAATTCTCTTATGAAATGAATTGTTTATTTGTTATACTATTCACTACAACAACGACAACAATTGTACTGTAAATATAAAAAATCAATAATTATATCATATTTTTAGACAATAAATAAATAGCGTATAAATCATATCACGTAACGAGTTTCGTATATATATATATATATAATAATAATAATAAACTACATTATTGTCTAACAAATTATTATTATTAATAATTATTCTAAGAGAGAGAAAGAGAGAGAGAGATATATCATATCTTTAACAATAAAATGTTTTAGAATTTTATAAAATTATTTTTAATAATAATAATGTGTTGAAAATTATTTTAATGTTTGAATTTACTAAACAAAAAATTTAGTCACAACTTTTCATTAAATTATATAATAAATGATTACAGAATTTATATATATATTACTAACAATTTTTAGAAACACTTTATTATTAATTGAACTGTTTTTATATTTTATACTATATATTATATTATTACTAAATATAGCATTAAATATTATTTTCAGTATATATATATTCAATATATAATACTAGTATTTAGTCTAAAATATAGTAGAAATGTTTTGGCACTTAATGTTTAATTTTTGTATACAATTTTAGTTTTTTGTTGTGTTGAATGTCAGTTAATTATTTTTAATTAGTCCAACACTTATTATATAATTTCTATACGATATACTACTAAATACTATAATATAATATATGCCAAAAAATATTTTCTGAATGCCATTAGTGGTTGTACTGTAGTTATAGTAAATTAGTACAACTATTAGTTAATATGATATATAATATATAGTTGTTTTTAATTTATTTTTAGTGTATGAGTGAAATATAAGTGATTTTAAACCGCAAAATGCACTCAATTTTAATCGATAATTATATACTGTATATACAGTTAATTGTAATAATAATAATAATTAATTTTTAGTTTTAATAAACACAAGTTTTTGGCAAATTTACTACAAATTTTTCGCATGTTTTCTAATCATCACTTTATGTACACTAATAACATGTATATATCAATAATATTACAGTATATACTATATATATATAGTAATATCATATTATATAACACAAAATTACTTAACATATAAAAGTTAGTTATGATTTACAGTGTATTTATTATATTTATATTAATGGATACTTTTATTGATGACATTTACTTCAATGATTAAATATATATAAACATATATTCATTATTATTATTGCTATTATTATTAACATTTATATATTTTTATCATTACAGGTACTCATGTATGGCTAAATATAAGGGCGATGTATCCAAACGTGATTTTTTTGTAACAGTTAGAGGTATTTATAAACCAAACTAACAAATATATATAATATATATTTAGATATGTATTTAGCATATATTRCATTACATTACCATCACTTTACTTACTTAGGATTACTTAATAATATCAATAATACTGATAATACAAACGTATAAAAAGTATATAATAATAATAACATCAAAACAACTTAAACAACAAATAAAACTAAACTAAATACTAATAGTATTTAATACTGTATTATATGCTATTATATAAATATATATTTGTCTCAAAAGATTTGAAAGACAATTGAATATACAGTAGTATTACATAACATTACATAACATTTATTTTCCATCTCTCTTATCATAACAACAAAATGATAACAATATACTGTATATATAACTTATACAATGATTTATATATAAGTTGACACTAAATATATAATAAATTTATTTATTTATATGTTTTTGTTTTTCATGATTTTATTTATCGGTTTTAACCAGAAAAACCAATTATCGAGCCGTTTGTCGTGCCATCGCTGGTCAATACTGGCCAACGGCTGTCCATTACGTGTACAGTCATCAGAGGCGATCCGCCGCTGACCATCAAATGGCTATACAATGACCACATTATTGGCGGCGGTGGCGGCCATAACGGTGGTAGCCGTGAACAGTTGGCTACGGTTGCGGTAAAAGTCCATCACTTGACCGACTATTCGTCGACACTATTGTTTGAATCGTTGACCAAAAAACAGACCGGTATTTAATATACAATATATATATATATATATTATTGAAATATAATAATAATTTTATTTTCATTATAAATAATTCATATATTTTATTTTGTTTCTATCCATTTCCTATATGTTTATTATTTTATTTATTTTTTTGGTCTATTATATGATACGATATTATTTATATATTTTACTTAATAATAATAATATACTATATTTTTCCGTATATTTCATACATATATTTGACTTTTTTTTGATATATACACAGAAATAAACTTATTTTTGTTTTCGTTTCATTTATTAGAGTAAAAAAGACATATGAGATATGATATCATAACTAATAGTAACAATAATATACAGTATATATATAAACACTACTATATTTTTACACACATGAGATACTACTACTACTACTACTACTACTAATAGTAGTACTTATATTAGTATATTATAAACAACATTACTTAAGTTATTATTACATTATTATTATTATTATAGATATAATTATTCAATTATTTTTTATCATTTATGATATATACTGTGTGTGTATATATATATACAGCATATTATGATAAAACAAAACATATAACAAAATAACAACAAGAAATAATAAGATTTTTACCATTAAAATGCTATTAGATATATATAGTATATATAAAGCATTTATTATCAATAATAATATTATATTATTGTTTATACTATTATAAATGATATCATATTTTACTTATAAGTTATTATATAAAAATTTATTTGTATATCAATATACTGTATATTGTATATACACTTAGTTATGCCCTTAAGATTTTGTTGAAAAAAATTGTTTAAAGAATATTCTTTATATTTTATATTTATTTATATATTATATATATTTAGAGAAAAAATATGTATTTTGATTAAAATAAATTGACTTTCTATGAGTTGTATTTATATTATATATATATATATATATATATACTGTACTATAAATATATTATAAAACYCATGCAATCCTCTTATAATTTATATATATATTTATAAAGATCTTCTTCAACAATGCAATCATATTTATACTGAATTTATATATAAATATATACAGTATATACAAGTAGTGTAACAAAATATCATTTGAATTTTTATATCATTTGTTATATTACAAAACCCTCTCTTCAAAAAAAAATAACAACAAATATATATATATTAGAAGAAAACTATGTTTTTATTAAAATTTATTTAAATATTATATAATATTTTAAGAATATATATATAAATATATCATTTTAACAATTTTTTTAGTTTAGTTTTGTTTTGTTTTTACATTTGGTTAATACATTTATAAATAATTCAGAAAACATTAAACAAAACAAAACTAAACTTTCAAAAAAAATAAGAGATTTTTTTTCTATCTGATGATTAATATTAGTCAAACACATGATTTGTTGGTAATCTTTTCAATATATTAGAGATTTTTTTGCAGTTTTTTATGTATGTATTGTAATGATTGCATAGTTATCATCAGTAATGAAAAAAACATAAAACAAACCAACAAAACGGATAAAAAAATTGATAAAACATGAAAAAAATTACTACTCATATAATATAACACTAACCAAAATATATATATATATATATATATATATATATATAAAACAAATATTTAGCATATTTTTTGGTACTATGAATATACTATATATATATATATATATATATATATATAGTATATTCATAGTACCAAAAAATATGCTAAATATTTGTTTTTTAATGATATATTGATTTTTCATTGATTTATGTTTTTTGTTTTTGCTTTTATTATATGTATATGACTTGAAATACATGGCCATCAACATCAACATCACATCCATATTAATCCACTATTTTTTGTTTTGAAGGCAATTACACATGTGTTGCGATTAATGATGTCGGAGAAGATAAACACAGCACTCAAATGATAATACGGGGTAATTATGGTCTAATTATTATCCCTTTTTCAATACATAGTCTAATACTATATCTCTCTCTCTCTCTCTCTCTCTCTCTCTCTCTAATTATTTCACTTAACTTTTYACTATTACTATCTATCTATATATAGTATCTCTCACTCATTCATTCACTCACTCGCTAATAGACAACCAAAAAATAATTAGTAACTAAATATTAGTTAATAGTAGTAGTAATAGTAGTGAAAGACTAAAACAATTTTTTTTCTTAAAATTATTTATTTGATACTATAAATTGCAACTTCCTTTACAAGTTTACTAATAGCCTCTCTCTCTCTCTCTCTCTCTTTACAATATTTTTTACAACAATATCCCATAGAGTTTAATTGACAGTCAATGATGTTGTTATATATATATATATGATATTTATATACAGTATAAGTACACTACTATTAATATAAATTTATAGATATGTTGTATATGTTATACACAATTGATGTATAACAACATAACATAGCCTATGATATGTATGTTTATATATCATTAAYCAATCTATCCATCCATACATTTATATATATGTTTTTATCTAATATTATATATTATTATTATTATTATTATATGTATCAGAAAAGCCCCGTTGGATAATAGAGCCGACAGATCACATAGATTTAGTCGAAGGCACCGGTGTTTGGGTTGACTGTTCCGCCACTGGATTTCCAACACCAAGTGTTCAATGGAAAAGAGCTCAAAGTATGGGTTAAGTTATTGTTATATATTTTATTATATTATTGTTTTGTTTTTTATGACATATATATATATATATATTGTACTAACTATATAATGATATCACTCTCAACAACAAAAAAACGATTTATTATATTTAATTAATTTATAGATATATTAATAGTGTTATTATTTATTTATTTATTTATTTTATTGCATATTTTTTTAAGTATATAAATTTATATTGTATATATGTATAATTATATGTATAATTTAATTACAAATAATTTATTTTGTGTTAATGTCTTATAAAGTAATATAAAGTCTGTGACAGAAGGGTGCGAACTGGTTTTTGCTTAATATCTCTATAACTAATTGAGCTATATCAATAAAAATTTTATGAGAAACATGGAATCCTGGGACGTATTACTTAGTATATTTAGTTTTTATAGATTTAAGCTTATGTAGCTAAGCACCGGTAGGTGCCATATCTCTAAAACTATAATAAATATCTAAATTCTGATAATGTGAATTTAAACTAGGTGAAAATTCATTAGACACGTGTTTCAGTAATTTTTATAAAAATTAATAAATTTTAAACAAAAAGCAAAAAAATGTAAAATTTGTGATATTTTGATATTTTCTAGAAAAAAAGTGTCAAGGTATTTTGTTATGAAATTAATCTATTATTATTTGTTATTTTATTAGGAATAATTATTCTATTTACAATTTTTAATTATCATGCTTAGTTTTTGAGATATTAAAGATAAACATTTTTACCATTATATAATTTTTTCTTATAAAAATTTATTAATTATATTTGTTACTAAATTTATATAATGGTAAAAATGTTTATCTTTAATATCTCAAAAACTAAGCATGATAATTAAAAATTGTAAATAGAATAATTATTCCTAATAAAATAACAAATAATAATAGATTAATTTCATAACAAAATACCTTGACACTTTTTTTCTAGAAAATATCAAAATATCACAAATTTTACATTTTTTTGCTTTTTGTTTAAAATTTATTAATTTTTATAAAAATTACTGAAACACGTGTCTAATGAATTTTCACCTAGTTTAAATTCACATTATCAGAATTTAGATATTTATTATAGTTTTAGAGATATGGCACCTACCGGTGCTTAGCTACATAAGCTTAAATCTATAAAAACTAAATATACTAAGTAATACGTCCCAGGATTCCATGTTTCTCATAAAATTTTTATTGATCTAGCTCAATTAGTTATAGAGATATTAAGCAAAAACCAGTTCGCACCCTTCTGTCACAGACTTTATATATTGAGTTTTATTTTTTTTTAGATTTTTTCAAATATGCTTAATTAGGCAATTTGTTAGCATATTTGTTATCACGATTTTAATCAATTTTTATTTTAAATGTCATCAATTGTGTCAACAATTGCTATATACAGTACTGTTTAAAAAAACAGTATCTATTTTTTAAGGACTGTTATCTGATCCCAGGGATTGAATGAAAAATTTACGGTTTATGTCAAAAGAGGTTTAACCCTTAATAACTATATATACAGTATAAAACATATATATAAGACATATGATATATTCAAATTTATTTTTAAATTGATTTATATATACTGTATATAGGGTTTGAAATTTGAAAAATTATTATTWTACGGTAAAATAAACTATAATAATATAATATAATAATATCTAATTTTATATTAAATAAATAGATAGATATATATAATTTCTATACACAATATTATGTTATATTTATTTGATATATTGAATATATTATAATTGTATATACAATATATTATTTACCTATAATTGTGATAAAATATTATTATATATTACAACATAAAATTGTTTGAACCCTAACTATACTAATAATAATAGTCTGTATTTTATATTAATACTTGAAATAGTTTTATTARAGAGAGAGAGAGAGAGAGAGAGAGAAAAAAAACTTATTGACAATTATACCGGTATTTACATAACATCTCTCAATTCCGATCCAATGGATGATTACCTCCATCTCTCTCTCTCTCTCTCTCTCACACACTCTCTCTCTCTCTTTCTCTCTMTCTCTCTMTACTCTCTCTACTCTCTATACTCTTTGAACTATAAGTTATATAAATTGTAAATACAGAGCAAAAAATATTTTTAATTAGTTTTTCGACAAATTTTAGCCAACAATTAATCAAATGCTTAAAACTTTAACAAATCGTTATTTTGTTTTATATGTATAATAAAATCACTTATTTTTGCAAACGAGAAGCTTTTTGTTTTGTTTTTTATATACAGTATTTGTTTGTCAAATAAACGTAAAAAAAACAATTAATATAAATATACTTAAAATACCTTTTAAAGTAAGTTTTAAAACTTTTTTTTCTCTTTAAATTTGATGACAATTTTCAGGCATGAAATCCGATTACCGGCCGATTGTCAGCTCATTTCAGACACAGGTTCACGAAAACGGCACACTTTATATAGAAAGTGCCGACAAAAAGGATTCGGGTCTATACCTGTGCCACGTGTCCAACGGTATTGAACCGGATCTCAGCAAAATAATCCGTATCCAAGTCCACAGTTAGTATTGATTTATTTTTTTTAAAAAAACGATTTATTATTATACTATTAGTTTTTTTTATTTATTTCTATACAATCTATTATTACTTTAATAGACTTTAACTATCAGAATATTCTTGTATTGTTTTTAAGCATTATTTTTACTATTTTTTTAATTTGTTTTTCATATATTTAATCCAATAATTTTTTTTATAGTTGTTATATTTTATTTGTTTATTTGCTATAATATAATATAATTAGTTATTTAGCTATTTTACTAAATTACTACAGTATTGAATATATATTTAACTTTTATGTAATTAATTTTTTTAAACTTGACTAAACTTGTAATTGATCATGGTTAGTTTTGTTTAAAAGCATTGCATAGTAACTTAATTTTTTTAAAAATATCCCTGAACAATTACAAGTAGTCAAGTTAACTAATTTTTTAGTTATAATAATTTACCTAAAGTTTATTATTAATATATGATATATTGTGTATAATATTGATATGTATATCAATAGTAAATGTAATATAAAATATTTCAATATATATATATTATTGATAATACAGGTAATAATAATAATAATCTATAATCTATTGATAATCTTAATCTAACTGTTAAATAATATATATAATAATTTTTGTGTTATTTTGTTTTAATTTTTTTTTGTAACACAATATACTATTTTATAGTATATTACTAGACTTACTACATATTGTTGTATTGTTTTTTTAAAAGTATTATTTTTACTAATTTTTTGTTTGTTTATTTGTTATATTATAATATAATTTTATTAGTTAGTTAGCAAGCTATTTACTATAATAATATTATTAATAATTTACATTATATTTTATGCTAAATTTATTAATACTGATATTTTAATCTATGATAATATATTTATTAAATTTATTTTGTTTTTTAAAAAATATAGTTAACTTGACTAMTTGTAATTGTTCATGGTTAGTTTTGTTTAAAAGCATTGCATAGTAACTTAATTTTTAAAAAAAAAATATTATTAATCAGGTCAAGTTATAATAWWTTTTTGAAATATTTWAAAAAAGTATCCCTGAACAAWTACAAGTAGTCAAGTTAACTAATTTTTTTAGTTATAATAATTTACGTAAAGTTTATTTATATGATATATTGTGTGTATAAAGTTTTGATATGTATAGCAACGTGTAATAGTCAATGCATTATTATATAACATATATTATTGATAATACAGGTAATAAAAATAATAACCTATAATATAATCTTAATCTAAGTGTTAAATAATAGTATAATTATTTTTTGTGTTATTTGATTTGATTTGTTTTTACAGTCGCCGCCCGTTTTAAAGTGAAATTCAGAGCCGAAACGTTTGAACGAAATCAACGATCAGTACTTAATTGTGAGGCCACTGGTGAACGACCCATAATTGTCGAGTGGCTCCGGGATAGACAACCTATACGTCCTGAACATCATTCAAATAGGTATAACCATTATTATCAATATATATATATATATATATATATATATATATAAAATATATTACATATTGATTATTATATTATTATATGCTAATTAAGCATAATTATTAATGATTATAATATTTAATTATTTATAATATATGAATAAATTATTAGTATTTTATTTTTTACTTAATTAATTAATTAAAAATCTTATTTTTATTTTGTCTCTAAATATATTATATATAATATATAAAATTGTAATTTATTATTGTTAGCTGTCATTGTTGTTGCTATTGTTTTATAATAAAACAGTATTTTTTTATTTTTATTTTTTATTATATAATAAAATACAGATATGTTATCAAAGAGACGGTAATGAATGAGGGAATTACATCTGAGTTAATGATTGAATCAATTGATAGAAGCGATTCAGCTCTCTATCAGTGCATTACATCCAATGCTTACGGAAGAGATGAGACCAGTATTCAAGTTATAGTTCAAGGTATACATCGATCCGTTTGTTTGCGTGTGTGCGATGTGTTTTGTGTGTGTGTGCGATGTGTAGGTGTGTGTGTGTGTGTGTGTATGTATGTGTGTGTGTGTGTGTGTGTGTATGTGTGTGTCTATGTGTATGAGTGTGTCTGAATGTGTGTGTATGTGTGTGTGTATATATGTGTGTGTGTTATGTGTGTGTGTCTGAATGTGTATGTGTGTGTGTATGTGTGTATATATGTGTGTGTCTGAATGTGTGTGTGTGTTTGTGTGTCTGTATTGTGTATATATATATATATATATATATATATATATATATATATATATATATATATATATATATATATATATATATATATATATATGTGTTTTGTTGATAATGCCATTAATACTATTAAAATATATATAAATATAAAAAACAAATATAATATAACTATAAAACACACGAAACACACACACAGACACACAATGTGTTTTGCAAATAAATGGCAAACATAGTACTGTTTAATACTAGTACTGTATAATATAATATAATAATACAATAGTATCTTAGAAAATAAAATCTCAAAAGAGAAACACATGTTTATAATGTTTTTTAATGTTATTTTTTGTCATCTAATGACACCATCACCCACTCCTCCTACTCCTCCTCTCACAGAACCACCCGATACGCCACTAGATGTCAAAGTTGATGACATAAGCAGCCGATCGGCACGGGTGTCGTGGGCGCCGCCCTTTACGGGCAATTCAAGAATAACTAAATATCATATCTATCTGAATGAAAGTCCATTAAATGGACCGCCGATGTCGATGATGATGATGTCGTCCACACTTCCGTCACAAAAACGCAACATAACTATTCCCGGCACTGGTATGTACTGTACTTATCTCACTCTTGTATAAACAATGTTATGATTTGTGCATAAAAAACAAAAAAAAATGCTTAAATCAACACATTTTTTATATCTATTGTTATATTTTTGTTATATTTTTGTTATATATTTGTTATACATCATTACATTATTATTAGAATATAATTATTTATTTTTTTATTTCTAATCTAAATAATTATATCATTTATTTAAGTTTGTAATAGAAAAAACACTTTTGTATAATAATTTATTTTTTATAATATCCTCTATTTTGCATAATATAAATATATTTTATAAGATTATTATAAATTATATACTATATATGTGTTGATAATACACAATACAAACATATAATGTGATGATGATTATGCACTTACTATAGGATAAAAATATATTTATATAAAATGCAAATTATTTAATTAACATCAAAACAGGATTAAAAATAATTTAAATATATTTTATATATCAAATATTCTGATATATATATAGTATATACTATAAACTATAGTGATTTAGAGAAAAAATAGTGCCATTAATTGCTTATAATTATATAATTTATGTATATTAAGAGGAGTCAAATGCAATATTTTGATTGTATATTAATATTATACTGTATTATATAATATATTATATTATAACATATGATATAAATTACAATAAAAATTTTGTATTTGAGTACAACTGTGAGCACTTTGACAGTCTGTATATACTGTATGTATGTGTAGTGTTGCGTGAGTTTCACAGTTTATGCAGAATATTCTGTATATATATATAATCTTTGAATAGTCTTATTTGATATATATATATATATAACTTATATATATATATTGATCTCTTACAGTAAAATAAGTTTTAACATTCAATGAGTGAGTGCTTGTATTGCAAAATACAGTACAAAAGAGAGTGAAATATAGAGAGAGATGTGTTTATAGTATAGAATCTATATATATATACTGTATATATATATTATAATGGATTAACAAAACTAATTGCAAACACAATATATTTGTCACACAAATGAATAACATTTTTATGAACGCTATTTACTACTACTATATATATAGAGAGAGAGAGAATAAAATATATTCTCATATATATTATATTATTATTATTATTAGAGAGAGAGAGAGAGAAAGAGAGAGAGAGAGAGAGAGAGAGAGAGAGAGAGAGAGAGAGAGAGAGAGAGAGTATAAACTACACTATATATATATATATATAGTATATATAGTTAAGAGGCTTGTTATAGGAAAATGCTTTAGTAATGAACAAACAGATTTAATTCATTATATTATATATCATATATACTGTATATATATATATATATATACTGGTAGATAAAAATAACAGTATATTTATTTATATAGAGGTTATATAAGTATAGTACTGTATTTACTGTACAATAAATTTGGTATTTAATTTTATGGCAAAAATTTTTCAAATTAATTCAACTATTGTTTGTTGTTGTTTGCATTGCATATATGTGTTGTCGGATTTAATTTAACAGATTAGGGCAACAATTTTTAATCTTTATTGATTAGGTTTGTACTYAAATTCATTATTATTATTATTWTAGTATATAATTAGTTTTAAATACTTTTCACTTTATCTCTAAATTCTATGCGATTAAATAATTTTGTCTCTAAAAAAATTATTAGACATTAAAATCTGGTATAAATCATATAATTGTTATATTATATATACAACTTTATATATAATATAATATATAGTTAGATATTTATAAGTTATTTTTTTATTGGTGTTCATCATCAACATTATCATCATTATTATTATCACACATAACATTAATATACAGTATATACTRTAGTAGTAATCACACTATATTTTGTATGACACATAACATACTGTTAGACTTATATATCGATATATGATATTTTATTTCATATTCTCTCTCTCTCTCTCTCTTTCTTTCTTTCTTTTGTATCATTATATAAGTAACAAAATTTTTGTTGTCTATGTATTATATATATATAGAGATGGTATGGACTATATCTGACTTATCGCCCAATAATATGTATTCATTAAGCGTTTCGGCCGTCAATTCACTCGGAATGAGTCAGTCGTCGACTCCGGCAATCAATTTTCAGACCGACGAAGAAGGTATGTMACACTTTKGGTATATTATTTTGTATGTGAATGAGTGGGTGAGTTTGTATGTGAATGAGTGGGTGAGTGAGTGAGTGAGAGAGAGAGAGAGAGAGAGTGAGTGGGTGAGTGATTGAGCAAAATAAATATATGACTTTCATCTCTTGTTATTATAGCTTATGACTGAATATAAGGAGAAAGAGTGAGGAATAGGAGTTAGTGAGTGATTGGAGTTAAAGTCTCTGAATTGTTTAGATCTCTCTCTCTCTCTCTCTCTCTCTCTCTCTCTCTCTCTCTCTCTCTCTCTTTCTGTATGCGTGAGAGAGTGGGTGAGAGAGAGGACACATCAATAAGTTTTTCACATATAGTCTTATTTTTGGATTCAAACACAAGACTTGTACTGTAAGACACAGACATACATAACACACATAACAGTCCTCTCTATTGTAGTTAAAGTTAAAGTCGAGGAATCGATAATCGATTGGCGAAACACAACACAAAAAATCTATTTGAAAACAAAGTTTTTTTCTGACAGTATTTTGTTGAGGATTTTCTTGACTCTTATCTCAGATATATAKATATATATATATATATATTGATAACATGTATAACAGTTTCTTGTTGTCATTGATAGAGACTATAATCTGTTAGAGATTGATATAACAAAATATTTTTCAATTTTCTGTATTAATTTGTTAGATGGATATTATCATATATATATATATATATATATATATATATGGGATTTTATAGTACAGTACTTTTACTGTACTTATTATTATTTTTTTGTTGATGAATGTTATATTATATAACTTATATATAAATATATATAATATTACATTAAATTTTGATCGTTTTAGTTGTTAGCATAAATAGTTGTTAATATTTATTAATAAATAGTTTTGAAAACATAATGTATATAAAATATACACTTAATTTTATTAAAAAAAATATTTTCCCCCGAATTTCTAATGTGTAAATCAATTAAATAAATTATAATACATTACTTACATTACATTTTGTTGATGTTGTTGTATATCTAAAATTAATACTAAATATGTTATTTTATAACAAATATTTAAATTATATATAGAAAATATATTTTTTGAGTTTATATTATATATACAGTATTATATTGTATAATACAATTTAAGTGCTAATATTTGTTGATGAGTTAACTATATATACATACATATATAAAATACACTAAAAGTTTATAATAAAAAAACTTAATGAACACAATATACAAAAAAAACTATTTTTTATTTAGTAGTAATTTTTTATTCRTTGCTTTAGTTAAACAATAAAAATCGTTTTTTTGTAGACAAACCAAACACACAATATTTATTTTTAAATGACTTTCGGCTTAACAAAAAATATTGATCATTATATGTCTTAAAATACCATATATTTGTGTAACTATTATACACTCAGTTTTTATATTATTATTGGCGTTAAAAAACACTATAAAAATATATATATATATATATATATATAAAACTCCGGGAAAACAACTTCAGGGCTCATAAAACTTGAGTTCACTTTTTTTTCTCTCTCTCTCTCTTTAAAGACTTTCATAGATGTAAAAGATTGAAATAAATGATAACAATATATAAATTATATACAGTATATATATAGTATATTACGGTATATATATTATATACCATATGTGTGTGAGTAATACAGTATACTTGAAAAAATAATAGTTTGTCGTTGACTTTAAAAATTATAAATCAAAATTTTTTATTTTTATATTTTTTATTTTCTCTCTCTCTCTCTCTCTCTCTCTCTCTCTCTCTCTCTCTCAGTGTGTGTTTGTATATAAAACTAAATGAAAAATCTGTATTTTATTATCCAATATATTATATATCTATCATTATCTTATTGTTTTTATGTATGTATTGACCGCCAGTTCCCAGTGACCCACCGACACATATCAAGGCTCACTCTAATTCATCAAATACTATAAGAATCAGTTGGAAGGTATGTATRGATAGCTTAAGTGTATAGACCTTTAAATTTATTGACTTTAGGTTTTATTTTTGGACATAATATATATATATATATGTTTAATACTACAGTACACTAACTCTCCTCCTAGTAGTTGAAGTGTAAAAACTACATGTCTTGTCAAATRTAATAATAATAATAACCTCTAACTTCTCTCTCTCTCTCTTTCTGTTTGAATTGATTTATGTTAGGCACCGGACAATCAAATAAATTTTGGTTCAATAAAAGGGTATTATATTGGATATAAAGTATTATCGGATATAACTTCAGATGTTTATATYTATAAAACTATTGATAATAATAATAATAATAATAATAAAAATAATAATAATAAAAATAATAATGAGAAAATAATTAGCGGTAGTCATAGTCATACTACTAATACTAAATGTGAGACAATATTAAAAAATTTAAACAAATCGACTAAATATAAGATCGTTGTCCAGGCGTTCAACTCGAAAGGTTTGACAACTATTTTATAAAAAAAATCAAATTAATTATCTAATAATTGTATTGTTTTTATATTCACTTTGTTTGAACCATACCTACCTAAAGGTGCCGGTCCACCATCCGAGCCAATTACAGGTAATATATATATATATATATATATATATATAAAAAACAATTAGATTTTTAAAATTTATTTATTGTGTGACTGTTTTATTAAAAAACAATTATTTATTTATTTTAAACACGCTTTCCATACACACACTAACCAACACAACAACAGTGGAAACATTAACTGAAGGTATGGTTTAATTTGATATATATTTATCATATTTTTTTGTGTCTATATATGGGTRAAATGGTTGTTAAAATTAGATAATTATTGTTATTATTTTTTTGAAAATTTTTGTTAAGTTATTATTTAGTTGGTTTTAAAAAATATTTTATTTGTTGGTTTTCTGCTACACATTATTTAATTAACTTCAACTAACAAATAAAATAAAATTTTTGAAAAAAACTTAGCTTTTATTAAATAAATTTTTTTTGCGAAATAAAAAACTTTTAGTATTAGTAGTACTTTAAAGCAATTTATTGATTATTATTGATTATTTAATAATATACTGTAATAACATTAATAAAATACATTATATATTATTATTTTAATATATAATATATTATATATTATCAAATCAACTATTTTATACAACATGTATATAATTTTGTGTTTGTGTTATTGTGTTAATTATAATATTAACTTTAGAGATATAGTAATATAATAAATTATTTTTGTAGATAAACATGAACTACAATATATAGTTTATTCTGTATAGTAATTAAATGATATTTTTAATATTTATTATCAAATTTATTATCAAATTTATTATTATTGAAAAAATAATTTACAATAGTTATTAAACAGTAACAAAAAATTTAGTGTTTAATATCAGATATATTTTTAATATACAGTACTTTATATAAGACATATTAAACACACAATTATTATTATTATAAATGCCTTGAAGTTACCCAAAAACTTATATAAATAATAATAATAATAATATTGTAAATACTGTTACACTAGTGTGTAGTATACAGTAGTATCGGAATATTGATTATTGTCATATAAAGTGTCACTAAACTATTATATTATGTATTATACATTATATATATATATATATATATAACTATTGATATTTCATTTCATAGCAGTAGTCACTGTGCATATAATATTTGTCAGTTTAGTTTCAGTACAGTTTAAGCTTTCAATATATAGAGCTTTCATTATACATACATTTTATAACTGAATAAACTTTTATTTGAGTATTTTTTAAGGCATAAAATTGAATTTACAGAATATTCTGTACGTACAGTATATACATAGATATAATGTTAGATATACTGTACATACAGTATATCTTATTGCTTATGCTTTTCAATAGTGGGTTTAGTCGACCTCAAAGTCGCATTCAATTCATGCATTCAAAATAGATATTAAACATTTAGTTTTTTATTTTATTTTATATATGATTTTATACAATATATGTATATATTTTATACATAAATACCCGATAAAATAGTGAATATAATTTTTTCAATAATATTTAACACAATAAACCCACTATTGATCTTAATGTAAGATTTTATTTTTAAAWTTTTTATTGATATTAWTTTTTTAYAAATAAATTTATTGATATTATATATTATTGATTCATTGAAATAGATTGTCCAATGAGTCTATCATTGAATCCCTTAAGTGTCAGCACTTCTAGTATTGATGTCGAATGGATTCGACCACCAAATGATGATAATTCAGTTTCTGGTAATTAAACTAAAAAATAATTGATAAAAAAAATATGAAAAACCACTTTATATTAATTTATATATTAAATCTATGTATTAAATACAACAAAATTTTATATATAATATTATCTTTCTCTCAGAAAATTAGTTATTGATTTATATATATACACATTGTATTGCATACATAGTGTATAAAATTATTTTAGTAGAGATAAAGGCTATTATTGTTATAATTTGTATAATTTATAGTATAATATAATATAATAGAAAATTACAATAATTATCATTTATATATTTTTACTGTTATGACTTTTATTATTATTTTGATGATTAGTGTTAGCGTAGTATATATAAAAATTTTATACTAAAAATATAATCGTAATAATAATAATATATTTTTATCTAACTCTAGAATACATAATCGACTGTAAAAATAGTATCAATTATCAAAAACAATTGAAACTATCGAGTAATACAACAAACTATTTGTTTGATAACTTACAATGCGGTACATTATATGAACTATCGGTAATGGCCTGCAATCGGATCGGTTGTAGTCCACGGCATCAGATATCAGTGAAAACAGTGGGTAATAGTCCACTGGCACCGGACAAGGAGTCACTACTGTCCGCAATAAACTCCACTTWCGTAACAATCAATTTGTTTGCATTCAACGATAACGGTTGTCCACTACAGCACTTCCAGCTCAAGTACCGACAGCGACAACAACCCCAGTGGACACAGTATCCACAGTTTATACATTCAACCCAACGATCCGTACTAATTGATGGATTACAGCCCTATCAGTGGTATTACATACAGATTACAGCCTATTCACAGGCCGGCAGCTCACAGGCCGAGTACAGCTTCTTGACACTAATGCAACCAAACTGTAAGTACTTATACTATATTTGTCTTTATATATATAATGTCTATCCCTTTCCCCTTCCCCTCTATATGTCTCAATCATCCATTACTTTTGAATGTATAGTATTTTGTTGTTGTTTTTGGTTATATTCAATGTAATAGTAGTAGTATTCAGAAATCATTTGCTGTTATTTGCTATTACTGGTTAGTACCAGTTGTTTGTATATATATATATAGCCATCCATCGGGAGTGAATGACTACTTTCCCCTACCATTCCCTCTCATATACTTTTATTTTTAGTATAGAAACCATTACTCTACCCTTTCCTAACTATCTAATGCACTGCCAATACCAGTACAAACAGCCCCACCATTGATTTAACCCCCTTTAACTACATTACCAATGATTGGCACACATTTTGAAACTATTTGAATATACATACAGAATATTTATACAGAATATAGATTTATTTTATATAAGTTATAATCAAAATATTAGACATGCATTCACTTCACGATTCTGTATCTTATAATAATATTATATATATATATATATATATATTTGGTATATATTTTTGACTATTTTTTCCTACACTTCCTCAACACCAACAACAAAAAAATCCATCAATTTTCTAAACAATTTATTATTATTTTTTATCATTATAATTATTTTAGATCAAATTTAATTTATCATATACTGTGTATTACACATGTGTGCATATTATATATACAGTATATATAAAATATTCAAACATTTTTTTTAATTTGGTTTTTAAGCTAACACTGTATAAGTCAATTGCAAGCGATATACTCAATCTTAATAAATTTAAGTCTAATTAATAGTTTTAGTAGTATTTTACTGTATTTTTAGGTTGAATCAATTATTTATGTTATATATGTTTTATATATGTTTTTTCTCTCAATATAAATAAAATATTTAATTTATAACTATTAGATTATATATATATATAAAGTGAGCGATTGATATAATTATTTATCCATTCATTCATGTATTTATTTATTATGGATTATAATATGATTATATATATATATAGTATTAATGTATGAAATGAACAATTGATTTTAATATTGAAAATAATATTTAGGAGTAAATTTCAAAAATATAATATTATAAATAAAATATTTCAGTTTTAATCAAATATTTTTTAAAATAAAAATAGTATTAATAATTAATTGATAACAACTTGTCATATATGATATTGTATATTATAATTTATGTTATAATTATTATTTTATTTTTTGCTAATATTATTATTATTATTATTAATATTATTTATTATTTAACTTATAAAATATTTTTTTAACAAACTATACTTGTTAAAATTATCACATTATAATTATATTTTTATAACAATAATAAACAAAAGTAATTTAGTTATACATTAAAATTCCTAAAATAATATTATTTAATATTATAATGTTAAATTAAAATATTTTTATTAATATTAGACCATTAAGATTAAGATAATATAAAATTTCGTTAAAGATCATTAAAAAAATAATAATGTAGTAATAATTAAAATTAGTATTAATATTAGTAAAAAATATATTATCAATAAAAAAATTAGTTGTGAAATATTTTATAATTATTTAATAATTAGTTTCAATATATTTTTTAGATTCTAAAAGATTTTAAAATCATTTAATCATTAATAATAATAAGAAAATTTAAAATATTTTAGTTTATTAGATTAAAAAATTTAAATCAATAAATTGATATGAATTACTAATGTTTGGTTTATTTAGAAAGATATTAATTTTAAAGTAATTATAGTTTTTAAAATATATATTTCAATTTAAATTATATAAATTATAAAAATTATATATTATTTTACATATTATTTATTTAATCATAATATCTAAGTATTAGTTAAAGATTATTAGTATACTGTACTATAATTTGATATTATAATAATATTGTAATAGTAGTTATTCATTATAATCTCCTATAACTAATATTATTTAATATTTTAATATTAAATCTAAAAAATATTTTTATTAATTATATATTTATTAAACTTAATAGTCATTATTTAACAATTCTAATAATATTAAAATACTATAGATATATTAATCTATTAACAAGTACAATTATTGAAAACATTACAGTTTCGAAAAATATTAAACCTTTAAAATATATAATTGAAATTTATTTGTTCATAAATAGCATATAATTTTTGTTTGTTTGATATTATTATAGTTTACTATAATTTTCAATTAATACAGTATTATATATAATGGAGTAGTTTTATGGATTAAAATTAGTCTAAATTATACAATATATATATATATACCGTATTTAAGACATTATCTAAACACTTAATACATATAATTGTTTTTTAAACACTATATATAGGGTTAAGTTTTAACAAACTTTTATTATACATTACATTATTTATAGAAGCACTCAATTGAATTGAGTTTTTCATATATTATGCAAAAAAAAGTAATTTTTAATTAAACACAATTTTATGGTAAAATATATTATCATATTTTTTCATTTATTTATTTTTTTATAAAATTATGTCATTAATTAATATTTCAAATAATTGTTAACGACTTGTCATATAATTTGATAATAATATTATTATAATATTATTTTATTTTTGTTGTTTGTATGTATTTTAATTGTTTTATTTTTGTTGTTGTTGCTAATATATTAAAATTTCCAAAAAATAGTTTATTTTTTAGAAATTTAATGCATTAATAATTATAATAATAATAATTTTTATAAAATGTGATATTTAAAATAATTACTAATTATTACTATTTTTATAACAATATAATAAACTATAGTAATATAGATTAGCAAAACAAAATTATTAATAAAATTTTTTATTTATTGTAATAGTTATTTGCTTTTAGACATAAAAGTTAGATAATGTTAATTTAGTTACAAAAAATATACAATAATAATATTATTATTATTTTAAAAACATACAATTAGTAAATTGTTACCAAAATTACTAAAATAATTATAATATTTAAATTTAAAAAGCTATCCATGTCTTTATGATAATATAATTTTAGTTTGCTATTAATTTTAAATAATTAACAAATAGATTTTTTTTTAAATTACAGTTTTTAAAAAATTAATCAATTTTTTATTTATAAATATATATATAAAATAAAATAATATTAATAATTATAAAAAGGTATTAACTTATTATTTAAAATTTTTAATACAAATAATAATAATACAGTAATAATTTATAAAGTATATATTTTTTGTTGTTGTTGTTAATTATTTAAATTATTAAATCGATAATCATAAATTAATTAAGTGATAAGCATATTATATATTATTTTAATTAAAAAATATTAAAATTTTTATTACTATAAATATTTTTAAAAAATTAAAATACTAAATAGTATAATATCCAATAATTTGTATTTCTATTAATAACATAGTAATATAATATAGTTAAACAATTAACAAGTACAATTATTTATAAAGTTACAGTTTGGAAATTTTTTTATCAATTTAATATTTTAAAAATGTACATGCATATTTTAGATTATTAATAAACTATATTTATGCAATTATAAGATTTTTTTTAGTAATTAGCAAGTAGATTTATTTTTAAAAAATTTATAGTTATTAATAAAAATATTATATTATTTATATTATTATACATTTTACTTATTTGTTCTAATAAACCAATTAATTTTTATTATAAATAAAAAAATATATATTATAATAATTAAATAATGAAATACTGAGCCACTATCTAATATTAATTAAGTACTATACTATCTATTAAACGATTAACCAAGTACATTTATTGAGAAAATTACTAATAAATATACAAAATATTTTTTTAGTTATATTAATTTTTAAAAATATTTAATTTAAAAAATCTTAAAACAATAAATAAAGTATAATAAATAACATATAAAATATTAGCAAGTAGATTTATTTAAAAATGTATAATTTCTACAGTATTTAAATATAAATAAAATGTTTTAGTTTATAAGTATTAAATTATATAATATATACTGTATATTAAGTGAGCGATTAATATAATTATTTAAGCATTTATTTATTATCGATTTAATACTAATTATAATAAATCAAATATTTTCTAATTAAACATAATTTTTTAATGTTAATCAATATTTCAAAAATAGAAAATTATTATTATTATTTTTGATATTAATTATAAAATAATCAATAATATATAAACAACTTGTCATATATATATATAAATGATAAAACTAAATATTTTTATTATAATTTATTATATGTTTTGTATTTTTTTCATAATTTAGTAAATATTTTTATTATTAAATTTTTTGATAAAAAATTTTCTAAATGTTTCTAATGTATAAACAATAATAATAGTGATATTATTTTTACAAACTGTAATTTTTTAAAAATATTACTATTATTATCATGTTTTATAACAATAATAAATTAAAGTAATATAGTATAAAGTAACTATAAATATCATAATGTAATATTTTTATATTCAATCAAAAATATTTTTATTAATCTTAATAGACATTTAAGTTAAAATAATAAAAAATTTACAATTTGCAAATATATTATCAATATTATTATAAATAATTTATAATTATTTTCTATAGTAATATTTAACTATTGATATTTATAAAATTTTTATTTAAAAATATAAAATTTAAAACTCTCAAATTTTTGTATTCTATTAATAATTTAAAAGTAGTTAGCAAGGTATAAATATTTAAAAAGTTACAGTTTTATTTATTATAGTCATATATTATTATTATTAGAATATTTTAATTATTTTTACCCAATTATGAGCGCGAAAACATAATATATATTTCTAAAATCACATTTAATTTTAATAATAATTTGAATTTTAGCTAATAAAACAATATTATAATAATAAATAAATAATGTTAATAAATGTCAGTGTAAGGTAACAGTCAAATTTAATTAGTGTAATATATTATATTCATCAACTAACATGTACAATTATTGAAAAATTACAGTTTGCAAAAATATTATTACTTTTTATATAA